AAATTCAAGAAAAGTGTAGTAAAAATGGAGACCAGAAAATGTACCTTGAATATCACATGTATCGGCTTTTAACGTTGGATCACTTGGATTGGACTTGACTTAGGTTAGGCGTTTGGCCGACCTATAACGATTTTCCTCAAGGCTTGTTAGGTGTAAATTAGTTCGGGAAGTCTTTGAAGTTGTGATCAACCTCTAGAAATGGTGTTCGCTCTTCGAGAGAAGTGGAAAAGTCTTAAATTAATTGCAAAAGTAGTGGAGAACACGCACATAAAATGTTTTCCCGTCAATTAAATGTTTTTCCGATTTTTCTTTATGCCTGGCTTAAGGTAATCATCTTAGGGTATGGTGTTTCCTCTTAGTATACTTGAGTGCATTTGAGTTTGTTTTTGTTTCCTAGGAGAAATCTAACCTTCGATCTTGCAACTTCCCACTTTAGGTGATCTGGTATATTGATTGTCTTCGTCTATATATAAGGGTTTTCAAAATTTGAGAGAACTTTTTGGTGTTTTTGAGAATCAGTTTCTATTTCTGAACGCATTTCCTTCTTCTTCTTCTTTTTCAAGAGTATTCCCAAGAGTGACTATTATTTTTTGAACAAAGCTTCCACCTTCCCACTTGAACATCTCTTTTTACGTCAGATTCTACTTTACCAAGTACCCTCTTTACCTTAAATTTTTCCTTATATTTAGAATTTCCTTTATTATAGCCACTATGTTTTATAGCCCCATTAGTTTGTCTAGAAGTTTTGGGAGTAACAATTATTCCTTAGTTAGGACGGGAATATCTTCCGATCCAAGCTGTTACCATTTAATCACAGATCAACTGGCCCATAAAGTCACATTTATAATCGATTATTTTCACTCATAAAGGCTCTCTAGGAGTTCTCCGAACGGGGAAACTTCCTTCAGGGGTTCATCTTTTGAAGCTCTCTTCTCTGACAATGATGTAGAAGGTGATCGAGTAGTCGTTTCTAGGCTCACTTCATCCTAAGTTGTAGGAACTTTAACTTTGTTTGCTTTGTTGACTCTGGAAATGCAGGTTGTCATTCTGAACAGGGGGATGCTAAAGACTACCTCGAGATCTATCAAAAATCATATAATCAATACCCTATCGATGTAGACATCAAGGATCAGGTGGAGCATGAGGCCAGAACGGATAATGTTTGTTAGCTTAAACCCTTCGAGACCTTTAAGGTCGATGAATTATTCTTGAAAGGGGTTATTTCGGTGAATCTTCCTTACACGAACAAATAAAACTGGATGGATGATGGGACATATTGGACCCCCTTCATTTTGAGTACTCAAGCACGCGTAAGTGCAATCAACATCGTGATCGAGTGTCCTTTTAATTGGTCGGTCCTTCTTGTGGATCCGAAAAAAGGATATGCAACATTTTTTGAAAGGTGTTCGGTCTCCTTTTATGAGTGTCTATTCACCAAGATAAATATGTGGGTGCCTCTATCTAAACTTAAACAAAGGTTTTGAATTACCTGAAGGTTGCCCCCTCTCAGCTTCAGTCGGGTTCTTGGGCTTATATAAAATAAAACGTTGAATAATTGAGATTCGAACTCACTTCTTTTAAAATAAGGGGAAATCAATCTACCAACAGTGTTGCAAATTATATTAATTATTTCTTCCCATATTATTTATTAATCAACAAATCATACAGACAAGATTAAATACCAACATTTTCCATTGGGCAATAAGGTGTTGAATTTTATTCATATTTCATACTTTCTGTTGGACTTTCAACTAGGGAGCATTGAACATAGTGGGACTTTTTTTTTCCTAGAGCAACCTTTGTGAGAGACACACCAAATACTCACCCAAAACCTTAAGGTGATAGGTGTATGGATTCTCTCACTTATAAATGCTCAAGTCACCACATTTCTATCCAATGTGGGACTATTATCCACCCTACTCACACTTGTTAATACTTAACACTTTCAACATATATATTAATGCATAAATAGTTTTTTTAATTTATTTTGAGTAATTTCTCTTTAGAAAAAGAGATGCATTTAATTTAATGACACTTGCGATTAATTTCAACCAATTTTTTTTTGCATTTTTTGAGACTGAGAGATGAATGCATGCAATTGTGATGAAACGATATTGTGGATACTTATGTTGAGCGATAAATTATTTACTATGACATTCATCTCATAACTTCTGTTATTTTTCGACACCACACAAAGGAAGCATTCAAATTAGTTCTTAATACTTTAAGATGAATAGTTGTAAATATTTGATATTATGTGTTATTAATATTCTAGAATATAAGACCCTTTGACTCTAAGATTTCTATGAAACATTATGTTGTTTCTCTTACTTCTTCAAGAACCTGCAAAATATAACAAGTACTTTACTCATCAAAAACATCATTTACTTTAAAGATACATTTCAACAAACATGAAAATAAAGGATGAACATGATCTAGAATATAAGTCCTTAATATGAATTCATCTTAATGGTGTCTCTTAATTTTGAAATTCAAACATTGAATTTTACATTCATAAAATAAGAAAATACAAAACCCTAGACTAGGGATGGTAAAAATATCCATACCCGCAGATATTCGTGGATAAAATCTGCCACGGATATGGGGCAGGTAGCTTAATGGATATCCATGGATAAAATAAATGGATATATTTAAATATCCGTTTGTTAATGGATATGAATATGGGTTTAATGATATCCATACCCGCGGATATTCATATCCGTTTATAAATTATAAAAATTATTTAAATATCATTAGTTTATTATACCTTATCTTTGCATCTTCTAAAAAAATTAGTCTTCTTATACTTCTTTCTTTTTAAAGAAAAAATTTGAAGAAAACCTTTCACTTTTCATTTAAATTCTATTAGTCATTTCATATTTAAACTCTTTGATACTTCATATCTCACTTCATCAATTTCACAGTCCAACCAACTAATATCGGCATTCCTCTGTCGAACTAGTCCCTCCCTTCCTACTCCTCTATCGTCTGATCTTCCATCATTCCTCTGTCGAACCTTTTGTATGGATGTCATGTGATAATAAATTTTTGTGTCTTTAAAAGAAGTTAAAAATAATTTTTTCAAAAAATAATTTTTATAAAAAAGTATTATCCATGGATATCTGTAAATATTAGTGGATACCGTAAAACTCGTGGATTACCCGCTTAACAGATATCCGCATGGATATGGGGCGGATATGGATATCATATTTATCTGACGGGGTAGATACGGATATCATAGTATCTGTCCCCATGAATATCCATTTACATCCCTACCCTAGACACAAACCCCTCAACTTGGGAGGTACCAACAAAACTACCTTCCCATCTTTTTTTTATTATAGTAGACACCAAAATATTAAATAACTGAGACCCAAACTCACTTTTTTTAGACCAAAATATTCTCATTTTATTTATTTATCAACAAATCATTCATGAAAGTTTAAATTACTTAATTTTATTCATATTTCATACTTCCAATATATATATATATATATATATATATATATATATATATATATATATATATATATATATATATATATATATATATATATATATATATATATATATATATATATATATATATATATATATATATATATATATATATATATATATATATATATATAATTTGAATAATTTCTCTTTAGAAAAAGAGATGTATTTAAGTTAACGACATTTGCAGATAAGAGTTGCATTTAATTTAATGACGCTTGCGATTAATGTCAACCAAGATTGATTAATGTCAACCAAGATTTTTGGTATTTTTTGAGATTGAGAGATGAATGCATGCAAATGTGATGGAACTATAATGTACATACTCAATGTTGAGCGAAAAATTGTTTACAATTTCACTTTAGAAAAAGAGATACATTTAATTTAAGGACACTTGTGGTTAATGTCAAGGAGCAAAAAATTATCGTCCTTAATACTTTTAGATGAAGAATTGTAAATATTTGACATTATTATTTCTTTGCTAGAATTTCATATGGTGCGTTAGAAATACATAAGATAAGATGAAAAAAGAAATAGTATAATATTATAGAAAGAAAATAATATACACGTTAGTTTACTAAATCAATCCCAAAAATTAGAAGAAGGATAGACTTAAAAAAAAAAGAAAACTAAGTCAAGAAAATCAAGATATAAAAACATAATACCCTAGCCAAAACTATTCATAGTCATAATATCCCAACCGTGCCATAATAATACAATGTTTGTATATCAATTCCGGAATAACAAAAATTATTGATAAATATCCAATAGAAGTGTGTTTGCTTGAGCTTTCAAACGTTTGTTTAACCTCTTTGAAAAAATACTATAAACTCTTGGGAAAAAATACTATAAGAATGTATCTCTAGTTATATTGAAAAATCAGCTTGAGCAATTTCTGAAAGAATTTTTTTATTTATAGTTATAACAAAACGAACAAGAAAATTTTACATATGAATTCTAAGAAAGTAAGTTGTTCATTGTATGTTCTATGCTTAAAAAAAATAAGCCTAATCATTGAATGTGTAAATTCAATTTTCACAGTACAAAAATTTGTCCAACCTATAAGACTTTTGTAATCATTCTAAAATAACAAAACAAAAACTGTTTTTGACTGGTAAAAAAAATAGTGGCAAACTCAATATAATTCTCGTAACATAACAGCCAGTAACAGTGCCATTGTGATGACAAACAAGGAGGAAATAATTGTCCCAAGTGGTTAAACAAATTAAACTGGCAGGACTCCAAATCAGGCATCAGCTATGTGACTCACTCATTAGGTGAGGAAGAATAAGCAGATGAACTAGCTGTAAATTCCAATTTACATAAACTGCTCAATGATATAATCCTGCATGCTTAAGCCATAATTAACTACTTTCATTTTCTGTTAAAGATAGAACAGAAGTATACATAGGATAAGGCATAGCTAATCTAGTGTTTTCAGTAATCAAAATATCCAAAGGACAGACAATGTCTGCTTCATACATTATTTCTGAACTTCATATTCACCGAGACTCCCAATCCTTCAATTTTTTGCTTCCTTTAGGCTTCGCTATAGGTGCATTCATTGCTGCCATTCTCTCGTTATACTTTGCACGTAGTGGATCATTGTAAGTCCACCTGTATTGCAAATCAGCATTAAGAAAAATGAACATTAGAGCATAAAAATGCATCGCTAATCCAAGTATGAAGTTATCCTTGTAGCCTAGTTCCATGGTATGTAAAATGAACAAATCCAAAATTCTTCGCAACAGATCAGACAAAAGAAAAGTACTTGGCAGCATAAGGACTTCAGAAAGTTACTTTAATAAAAAAACTCAGTTGTATGGATCACAGACTAATAATCCATCTTATATGTGAAAATAGATTTCTTACAAAGATACACACATGGTGCTGCAGCAACTCTTTGTGATAACATAAAAAATGCCACTGCCACCTAAATTTGCGAAAGTCCATTTTACTAATGATTATCAATATATACAAACATGATTGCAAATCTATCAATTTAGAATGAGAATGCATGATAAAATTCTGGTGAATGAATAAAAACAAGTAAGCCCCTCTTGGTGTTAAAAATTCAAAAACTGCACCAATTCAAAAACAAACAAGGGGTCCATTGATGATGAATTTAGCATTTCAAAAGGTGTCTAAAGACACAGAGAGAATAATCTACCTTAAGCAAGATATTAATGTAGAATCATAACTTTGTAGCTGTTTTTCATACTCAAGGGCGGAGCTAGAACTTAGTGATAGGAGGGGCCAAGAAAAACATACAAACCATAAAAGGACAAGGAAATTGAGGCACACCTAAACTTTTAAGATAAAAGGTCTAAGAATTTTTTGAGAAATTTGAAAGGAATAGTTAATTATGTAATGCAAATTTATTCTGAAAAAAAAATTTGGGGACTAAATTGAAGGAAAAAGATGGAAGTTAGAAAGAGAAATTAAGGTCTTCTAGATTGGTAGTTTACTTTTATTGTTTACCAATATTCAATTCTTTCTTTTTGTATTAAATTTCAAGTCTGAGAGCAGCAAGCTAGAATAGACATTGAAGAAAGTTTGAAGCACCCAACAAGTCTCATTAACATGCTTCCCTCAACAAAAACGTGTGATTTTGTGACAGCAAAACTTTGACCTCCCTATGTATGTCTGTGCGTGTTCGTGTGTGTGTGTGTTCGTGTGTGTGTGTGGGTGGGTGGGTGGGTGGGTGTGTGGGTGTGTGTTTGTGTGTTTGTGTGTGTGTACTATGTCAAGCCTTTATCACAGAGTTAGCCCAGCACTCTGTTTACACTAAGATGTTAAAAAAACAGCAGCAGGGCTAGGGTCCCTGGTAGCAAACACATAGCTCTGTCCCTCATTCTCTCTTAACTTTGCAAGCAAATGAAAAAAACAAAAAGTAAAACCCGCAAGGACTATAATCACAATCAGACACATTGAAGACATCTTTCAAACAAAATGCATTATAAAGACATGCTATGTAATAGCCTTCTTCAAATCCCAATTAATGTTTCCTATCATAATCAACATTTCACCAATTTCAGTTTAGACTTAGGCTTCTTAATATCATATCAAGAATGTAAAAGTACTGTCCAAGACCATTTTGGACCAGTGTCGGATCATATGAACTTCAGAAGAACAAGTGAAGAAAGAATCATATATGTTTTGGCAGGATAAAAGAACAAAACAGTAAATATCAACTAACGGAACATTTAATCTACCATTATTCTTGAAATATATGTGAAGGAAAGTGAACTTACGGGTTGTTCCAATCAGTAGTGTCTTCATTGACCAGATGTGACCATTTAGTTCTTCCACTACGACCAAAGTGCTTGACTTGCATAACCTTAGGTAATATTGTCTTGTCCATTTTATCTTCCCCGGTTGGGGCTGAGAAATCACGTGTGAAAATATTGTCAGTGCCAGCGGTGGCAGCTCGGTCATCAGAATTAGACTGGAAGAAAGCACCCTTGTGATAGTATTTCTGCATAAATCTCCATTTCTGCTTTGACGATTGAGAAGGTTTTGGATTCTTCCTTTCCCACTCTCTCCTTTCTTCCTCTGTCATGTTCCTCACCCTCTCAACCTCTTCTTTTTCCTTCAAAAGAGCCTCCCGATCCTCTCTATCCCTCTTGATCCTACCGATCTCTCTCACTTTCCAAGCTTCGTATTCTTCTGCCTCGTTGATTTCATCATCAGTGTCCACATCAGCAATATTTGCCTCCAATTCAACATTTTTCTGGATTTCCTCATCCTTCCGAATCTCCTCAACAACAATCTGCTTCGTCTCAATTCTCCTTTGCTCCAATCTCCTTTTCCTTCCTTCCTCAAGAGCCTCCTCTTCAGCTTCAAGACGCTCACGCTCCGCAATGGTATCTCTCTCCGACTTAGGAACAAACACAGGCTTCACCATAGCTACTCCCGTATATTCCTCATCAGAATCTGTCTCATATTCAGATTCCTCTTCCTCCTCTTCTTCCTCCTCCTCCTCTTCCTCTTCCTGGGGAAGAGCCTCCTCTTGCTCCCTCTGAAGCAACTTCTCCTTAAGCATTCTCCTTCTCTCTGCCATAGCATCCTCATCTTGTTCTTCCAAATCCAATCCCTCCTGCCTCCTCGCCTCCTCTTCAATAGTAGAAACAATTTCAGCCTGCCTAATACGCCGATGATCCGCCCTAACTTCCTCACGGTTATCTATTCGACTCTCTGCCAACCTACGAAGCCTACGATCATCTTTCCTAACAATAGCAGTATCTTCTTCATGACGAGGAAACGCTTTATCCAAAGCAGCTTCCCTGGTGGATCTAATATCACCAGAACCATCTTCATTCTCCTCATCAGCCCATTCAGGAACTTTACCAGGCCAATAACGCTTCACTTTCGTTTGGCCAATTTTACCTCTAAGCTTATCCCTTACGGCTATTACCGTATCACTAACACCTGCTGTCACTGACATTGTTCTTCAAAATCAACACCAACAGAAGAAAAACTAAATAACAGATTCTGATCCCTTTCTTGTTCAAACCCTAGTTTGACAGAAGCATAAAAATAAATTAAATTTTCACAAAATCTCAAAGCAAAGTAAAAAAAGGTGAGAGAGGTAACCTCACGACGCAAGGATAACTATCTGCGGCAATGGAGACGGTGGTGAGGCGGAAAGTCCGGTGACCGGGAACCTCTGTTTCTTTCTCCTTCGAGGCAGCGTCGTTACCCTCTCCCAGGTTATTCGGTTCTGTGAATATCATAAAATATGAAATTGTAATAAGTAATTAACTTTTATTACATTCCGTAATTATATTTATAAAAGTATTTTCATTAGAAATGAGAATATCATCGGTCCCATGGTCTAGCGGTTAGGACATCAGACTCTGAATCTGGTAACCCGAGTTCAATTCTCGGTGGGACCTTAAATAAGATAAATGTTTTTTCCAAACTTAATTCTTGAATTTATATGCTCTTAAATAAAAAGAATTTCCAAGCTCTTACATAAACATTTTTTTCAAACTTTATTCTTGAATTTATATTCTCTTACATAAATATTTTTTTCAAACTTAATTTTTGAATTTATATTCTCTTAAAATAAACATTTTTTTCAAACTTAATTCTTGAATTTATATGCTCATATGTTATATTAGAGAAACAATTATTTATTTTTATTTGATTTTTTAATTTTTTAACATTAGAGAAACAACAAAAATAAGTTATCCTTCCATTTATATGCTCATACATTATCTCTGAAAAATCATTATTTTTTTTTCTAATTTTTAACATTAGAGAAACAACAAAAAAAAGATATCCTTCTAATCAATGTGGACAAAATCATGAATAATGATATAATATATCACGAGTATTGTAATTAGAAGGGAGAAAAGAGAAGATCAACATTAAAAGTAAAATCAGACATATTATTTTATATACGCAAAATATTTTTTTAGTCCCGTAATTTGTAACCATGGTTCATTTTAATCTTTTAACTATACAAATTAAAATACATTAGTCCTTTTCATCTATTTTGTTAGTCAAATTCTGTTAATAAACTATGTGGCAGTGACATGGAATTGTCATGTGGATTTGATCAAATTTTATGATAAAGTTAGCTTTGGAAATCACTAAAAAATATTTTAGGATTTTTAAGTGTTGTTCTTAATCATCTTCATCAAACTCACGAACTTTCTCAATTTCCCAAACTCAAAAACTCATTGCAAGCCAACAAATATAATGAACTTCAACAAGAGCTTTAGAGAAGTGTATGCGCCAATTATGATTAGTCATTCCTCTATATATCTTTAAAGTGAGTTTTCACTACTCCCTAGTTTTTTAGGATACATACCTTGGAAGATTTAGATGCTTTAGTTATACCATTTTTCTATGTTTGAAACCACGTCAAATGTTGGACATTAGGAATGTTGGCTTCTCAAATTCAAAGCAAATAAAGACATTGCAACATGGCTATTATGATAGTTTACAAATGTTAAAACAAACTTACTAGTTTCGTTCTCTATCTCTTGAACCTTCTTAGAAAAACTATTCTTACCATCTCTCTCCAACTTCTTCAATTTTATCACGGTTGGTTCTTCATACCACTCCAGTACGACAATATGAAACTTACAAAGAGAGAAAAATGAAAGGGTTATCAACCCCTTTAAGGAAACATAATAATAATTGACACAATTTAAAGAGAAACTTCTTTCACTAATTACCAATCAAATAGTATGAGTGATTTATTGAAGAGGATGAACTCTTTACAGAAAACAGTAAAGGGCAAAGAATGATTATTTGCAATGATCTTGGAAATAATGAAAACAGGCCTACAAGATATGGGGAGAAAGTTCAACTTTTAACTTATTCCACATCATTCTCATCCCTCTGACCCCCCCCCCCCCCCCCCTTTATATCCTTACTCATTGACATACTTTTGTTGTGTTTCTTCTCTCTCATGTTACGCCTCACTTCCATATTTTATGGATCACACTTCCTTTTATCATTCGTCTTATTTTCTGCCTTGTTATCATCATTAGCTCTATTAGTGTTAACCTCCTTTTTGATAGAAAATTGTCATGTTCTTTTCCTTCGTCTTCATCTCTTTTTTTAGAGTCTTCTACTTCTTCTTCAATCTCAGTTTTTCATTTTTTATTTTATGATTTAGTTTTTGGGTTAATTGAAATATTGGTGATATGGATTTGATATGAAGTTAATGGTACTGAATTTTTATTTTGTATTCAACTTTTATTTTTTGGCTTTGTTTTATGCTAAAATTTTATTTTATTACAAAAAAGATTAGGCGTGAGATTTTAAATGTGTCGGTTGATCCTCAAAGCCGCAAATCTGCACCACCCAAAACCTGATCAAACTCAAAGAGGAAATGAGTAGAATTGGGCTAGGTATAACCACTTGTGCTTTTGGCTGAATTGAAGTTGTGGGCATAATTTCCAATTGCCCACTCTTAGGTAATTTTATAGAACTTTCATTATAGACACATATAAATAAGAAAAAATGTTTGGTCGCATTAAAAGGACAACATGTTCATAATGATTGTTCTGTTCCAGAACCAGAAATGTGTAGTGTCATGGAAGTTCATATATTGCATTGAGGGATCGTGTGATATGCCTATAGCACATGTGGGTGTTCATCTGCCTAGTTTCCCTAGGTGTCATCTAGCCTCTTTTTCAATCCTCTAACCAATACCCGATTAGCGGCTTCCACTTGGTCGTTGGTTTGGGGGTGTTCAAATGACCAAAAGTGTTTTTTGATCCATAATTCCTCTGTCATTTTTTGAAATTTATTGTTAATGAATTATGTCCTATTATCAGTCACGAAGGATTAAGGAACTCTGAACAGTCTTATAAATTTTTCTTGAAAATTTTTAAAACATTTTCCGCTGTGATTTTTGCCAATGCTTCGACCTCAATCCATTTTGTGAAGTAGCCAACAACTACGATTAAGTACCTTAGTTGGTCGTGGGCTAAGGCGAAGGGTCCGATGAAGTATATTCCTCATTGATTGAAGGGCCAATGTGAGTTAAGGACGTGTAGTTCGATGGATGGGGCGTTAAAGACGCCACCGTGCCATTGACACTTATCATATTTCTTGACGTATTCTCAGGAATTTTGGGCCATGGTTAGCCAAAAATATCCTGCTATAAGTGTTGCACCTTAAATTTTGACCCCTTAGATCTTCATCATCATTCTAGGTTCATCTTCATTTGTTTATCTAACCTTAACCTATTTCAAGTTTGTCTTTGTCGAGATACAGGTGAATTAGGGTTCCGTACAGTCAAAAATCGAGGTTTCGATGGTTTAATCAGTCAATGTATTTGATTGATTCTCCATGAAACAAGTTTCCACATCATCAAAGATACCACATTGGGTCAAGTATGAATCCAATTTGAGGTTGTCACTCGAAGATCAAGAACAGTGCAAACCAAGACACCCAATTAGGATTGCTGATCGGGAAAAGTTAACTGTAGTTTGACTTTTGATTTAAAAGGTGTTACAATGATGGGATCATGGTTCATGAAGTTCATATGGATTATTGAAGTTCATTCAAGAAGTTTCAAGGCCTCAGAAGACCCAGAATATCAACAGTCGATCTGATAGTTATCGATCGATCGTTCATTTGACCGAAAAGTCAACTCCTTGACCATAAGGAATTTGACCTCAAAGTTTGAATCAAATATGTTCCTAATACACATTACACCTATCCATGAAGTTTCATTACCATTGGATCAAGGATTGAGGAGTAATCGAAAAAAATCGGGAATTAGGATTTTGAAAGGGGCAAGACCATAACTTCCTAACCGCACATCCAAATGAGGTGGTTCAAAGCTTGTTGGAAAGGTCTTGTCAAGACCTACAAAAGTGTAAAACTAACTCATGGGCAAAAAAATGCATATATTTGGAGTTATAGCCAAAATCATCACAAGAGGGAGAAAACACTTAGAAAAATTCGAAGTTTCTGGCCTTTTTAGGCATGTTTTCAGCCAACTTTGAGGAGTTTTTTGACCTACTTCCACTTGGAATCTGGAGATCATGAAAACATGAACTTTTTAGAGCTCCATGAGGGCTTTCTAAAAATTACTAGAACTCCTCCATAGCCCTTATGATCTTAGAGTTTTGAATCCAGCAAGATGGGGTCCCAACACTTGAATGCACCATTTCAACTTTTTGACAAATTCACTTTTCAGCCACTTGAATCATTCTCAACCATTTGATCATGTTTTGATATGATAATTAGAGAGGTTGATTGTTATAAATTCAAAAAGAATGAGGATTTGGTATACATTCCAAGTTGCAAGACAAGTTGTAATATTTTAATCAAAAAACAAGAAGAAAGAGAAACTTTTTGATGAGGTAACTTGCAGCTGCAGCTCCCTACACTCTAGCCTCACTTCAGTCACCTCCATGTCCTTCATACCCCTTGATTTATGCATCACATTGAGCCAAGGAGTTGAAGGTACAGCTGCCACAAATCTTGGATGGATTTTCTTCCAAAAATCTCCCTCTAAGATCACAACACAAAATCTGCCCCAACACCTCTCATGACCTATAAATAGAGGTTTCCTTCCACTCTTTTAAACACACCAGAGCTATCCAAAACACCATAAACACCCAGCTCTCACTCTTTCCCTCTTTGCTTGAAAGTGAAGAAATTCATAAAACCACCAAAATTGCCTCTTTGCATTTTTCACACCAGCACCATTTCCAAACATGAAACCATCATAAAAACCATTTACACAGACTTAAAATGACCATTTGAAGCTATTCCCAGCATTAGTTTCATGAAAAAGCCATAAATTAAAAAGTCAACTTCTCTTACACCATAGTTTGACTTTTTTGCTTGAAATGGACCAGTTCACTACATAGATCCATTTCCATCATTTTGACACTTTGAATACCTCATATTCATGCTATATTAGCTATCCATAACCTCAAACAACAGCTGGAAGTCTATTTGTGA